GTATAAAACCCTTTCCAGCCCGCAAACCCCTTTTCCACGCTGAGCGTTAGTTATTTCTAGAATCCCTCTCAAGCCAAAAAACCTGTCCCCGCCGAACTGCTCTCTTCACGAAATACACCCCGCTCATCGAACCCCCCCAAACCCAAACGCCCCCTTTGTAACATTTCCCCCAGCTGCAAAAACCTTTCCAACCCAACCGTTTTCTCGCACACACAAACAAACACACAAAAACAAAAACAAAAACAACAAAAAACAACAACAACAAAAAAAAAAAAAAACAAAAAAAAACGTCCCCAGGACAAGAGCTTGCCTTGCAAGGGCACCCCTAACCAAACAATCCCCAACCAAAACATTGTCCGTGTAAAACCCTTCCCAACTCCACAGCCATTCCCAACCCGAGCGTTTTCCATGCAAAATACCCCCCAACCCCAAAGTCGTTCCCCACCCGAGCGCGCTCGCTCCCCCCCCCCCCTTCCCAACACACACCCCCAAACGCAAGCGTTCTCGCCTTGCAATCCCCTTGTCCCAACACTAGAAAAGGCCCTCGAGCCCCTCGTTTTATTCGCAAAACGCCCCCCAACCCACGGCACCCCTCCCACTCTGAGCGCTTCCGTTGTAAAATCCCCACGACCATTCGTCAGGAAATGCTGGGAAGCGCAACTTCAATGCATTTAGACGGCTGAGATCGGTCTGCTTCCAGAACTGCAGCTCAAAACTGTTTACACTCTTCAAAATTTAGATAAGCGGTGTTGGCCCTCTCTCTTAATTGGAGCTGCACGCAAGCTACAAAGCTGGAAGCAGGCCGTTTGAATGGGAAGCATCACGAGCGCTAGTCTTCTCTATCGAGACGAACTCGAGCTGGGGAGAAGCAACTTCTCCTCCTCCTCCTCCTCCTCCTCCTCCTCCTTATCCTGCTCCTCCCCCCCTCCTCCTCCTCCCCATATGTTTCCTTCTCCCCCTCCTTTTCCTCCTCTTCGTTCTCCTCCTCCCCCCCCTCCTCCTTCGCCTCCTCCTCCTCCTCCTTCTCGCCGTCCTCCTCTTCCTCCTTCTCCCCCTCCTTCTCCTCCTCCTGCTCCTTCTCCTCCGGTTCCTTCTCTCCCTCAGCCTCCTCCACTTCCTTCTCCTCCTCGCTCCTTCTTCTCCTTCACGTCTTCCCCCATGAAACCGCGCCCTCGCGCGCGCGGAATGCGAGATTGCCGCGCCCGCATGCCATTAACCTATATCGCAAGGGAAGCTCTACGAGTTCCCGGCGGTAACCAAGGTTGACGGTCTACCGCTGGCTCCCAGTCGAACACCGTCTTTCATAATATGAAAGAGTGCAACCCATTATTTGGTCGCAGCTCTGGAAGCAGACCGATCTCAGAGGTCAAGATACTCAAGACTGGTATACCTCCCACCATCTCACCACAAATCCCACCAGCCCTTTGGGCGTGAGTGGTTTAGAGAGCCCGCTCTGTTCTCAACCCCCTTCTTCCCCTTCGGGGAGGGGTTTACCCCTCCCCCTACCCCCTCCCCCTGGACCTGGAGAGGTCCTTTCGCGGGTGGTTGGAGGGGTCTGTTTCGACTCCTGGGAGGGCTAAAGAACGACACCCCTCACGAGGATTCTGGCCCCGACGGGGGGGGGGAGAAAAAACCCTCCCCTCTTCTTTGAAGCCAAAATCATTGATTTTACTACGGTTTTGGCCCCATTTTGGCCATCTGAGGGGGCAGCGCTAATTAAAGCTCCCCTCTTCTTTCCAGCCAAAATCATTGATTTTACTAAGGTTTTGGCCCCATTTTGGCCTTCTGAGGGGGCAGCGCTAATTAAAGCTCCCCTCTTCTTTCCAGCCAAAAACATTGATTTTACTAAGGTTTGGGCCCCATTTTGGCCTTCTGAGGGGGCAGCGCTAATTAAAGCTCCCCTCGTCTTTGATCGATTTCCTCCAAGATGGCCCCAAGAAGCGCCCAGGAGGCACCAAGAAGCCCCAAGATGGCCCCAAGAGGCCCCCAGGAGGCCCCCAAGAGGATCCCAAACTGCCCAAAGAGGCCCCCCCGAGGCACCCAAGACGCCGAAAAGCCCATCAGGACGACCCTCTACTCGCCTGGGCGTCGTTTCTGGACGGGCAGGAGGAGGGGCCCGAACGACTCACACCAGGACGAGGGGCCCGAACAACTCACACCACGAGAAGCCCGAACGACTCACACCAGGACGAAGAGCCCGAACGACTCACACCACGAAGAGCCCGAACGACTCACACCAGGAAGAAGGGCCCGAACGACTCACACCAGGACGAGAAGCCCAAACGACTCAAACCACGAGGAGCGCTTTCTCTCCCTCCTCCTCCGCCTCGTCCTTCTCCCGCTCCCACCACAAGGAGGATGTACAAGGAGGCGGGAGGAAGGAGGAACAGGGGAGATATGCGGGGGTAAGCGGACACACGCCTGAAAAACACGACTGTCGGCATGCTTCGCCAGAGTTGCTGTTGTGAGATGGGCTGGTGGGGATACGCGAAGCGTAAAGAATTAAGGAGTGCAAGCAGTTGTTCAGTTGCAGCTGCGGTAGCAGACCAATCGCAGAGGTCTCGATCTGTAGGCGACTGTGTCGCGTGGTTTTCTGTTGAGCGGGGGTGCTTCCCAGCTCCCTAGCTTGCACTTCGAAAAGCGCTCTGGCATCGCTGAGCTGGAGGAATTCTGGCGCGGGGTGCAGCTAGTACCTCGTTGAGCACTTCGGCGTCGATGAGCTAGAGGAATTCCGGCGCGGGATGGAGCTAGTTGGCCCATCCAGCCCGGGCGGACAATGTGGTGAGAGCTAGTGACTCGTAGAGCTTCCCTAAGAGCGAAGCGGCGAAGCTAGAGAGTACTTCTGGCGCGCTGGGGGCTAGTTGGCCCGAAATATCTCGACGGAAGTTTTGTTTTGTTTCCGCCTCTTTAAAATCAGATCCTCGAAATTTGAACATTCGTTAGAGCTCTAATATTTGCTCCCCCATATTCGATCTTATTCGCGCTCGCCCTCTCGATCTCGAGTCGATCGGGTAAATATTACGATCGAAAAGCACCCAGGCGGGATCGGCTGTTTTGTGTCGGTTTTCTTCACGAAACTCGAACTACAGACGAGCTACAGAGCTGTTCGGCACAGCAATCGAAAGGGAATCATGAGGAGCGCTAGTCTCAAGTATCTAGATGCCCGAATTTGGTCTGCTACCAGAGCTGGAATCAAGAAACTATGTATACGCTGCAAAGATTTCAAAAGATACGGATGGTGTCTTTTCTCAACTCAAGCTGCAGATGAGCTACAGAGCCGTCCGGCACAGCACTCGAAAGGAAATCTAGACGGGGGCTAGTCTCAACCCAGATGCCTGAACTCGGTCTGCTGCCAGAGCTGGAACTAAAAAACTAATACTTTTTGAGATGATGATGATTTCCAAGTGCAGATGAGCTACACTGATCGGCACAGCAGTCAAAAAATAACCAAGAGGAGCGCTAGTCTCGAGTATCTCGACGCCCGAACTCGGTCTGCTACCAGAGCTGGAATCAAACACCTCTTTGCACTCTGCTGCTATTTTGTTCAAAAGATGTTGAAAAGCTTCTTAACTTATTTCGGGCTGCAGATGAGCTACAGAGCTGTTCGGCACAGCAATCGAAAGGAAATCGAGAGGAGCGCTAGTCTCAAGTAACCAGATGCCTGAACTCGGTCTGCTACCAGAACCAGAACCAAAAAACAATTCGTACTCTGCTATTGGTTTAAGAGATGATGATAGTTTTCTCTACTTCAGAGCTCGTCATCCTCTCTTCCTCCTTCTCCTGCTGCTTCTCCTCCTCCTGCTCCTTCCTCTGCTCCTCCTCCTCTTCCTCAGCCTGCTCCACCTCCTTCTTCTCCTCGCTCCTTCTTCTCCTCCGCGTCGTTTTCCATGTGAATGCACCCTTGCGCGCGCGGAACGCGAGATTGCCGCGCCCGTGTGCCATTCATGCATATCGCAAGGAAGCTCTACGAGTTCCCAGCGGAGACCAAGGTTGACGGTTTACCGCCGGCTCCCAGGTGGCCCATCCAGCCCAGGCGGACAACGTGGCGACCTGGGGTCGGGAGAGATTTAACCGTTCGTTTTGGGGACCTTTTCATTTCCTGTAGTCGATCATGGCGCGCTTCATGATGAAATCCCCAGGGGTGTAGCTGCAGCACAGCTCCGGAAAATGAGGGGAAACCGTCGGTGATCGGGATGTATTTTCCCAGATGATAATGATTTCTTGATCCTAGTTCAAGCAGAAAGCAAGCTACAGAGCTCCAGAAGTTCTTGAATCCTTAGACCCTTAGCTGTAATATTACTATCAAAACACTCGGCAGAACAAACTTTGTGTAAACTGAGAAACTCTTCTGAAGTTTTGAAGTTCACTTGGCGAACAACATCAATATGCTTCGAGTTTTTGAACGGATAAGTAAGCTTTCTAGTCGTTTTCTGAGCACTGCTTCGCGGCGTGAACAGCTCTACGAGGGTCCCGGCGGTCACCTGGTTGAGGGAGGGTTTACCACCGGTTCTTGTGAGAGATTAGAGCCTTCGTTTTGGGAACCCCGATGTTTCTCACGCGCAGCAGATTATGACGCGTCTGCCCGTGAAATTCTCAGGCCCGTAGCTTTAATATTACTGTCTAAAGACGTGGACGAAACGTTGGCTATCAGAATGTATGTTTGAAGATGAAGTGGTTTGTGCTCTTCACTCAAGCAGAAACCAAGCTGCACAGCTCTGATTCGCACCGATGGATTCAGCATTATGAGGAGCATCAATCTGCATTAGCAGGAGCTCATCGTTCAAGGTATATCATGATATATGTCGAGAACATGGGCGTGGAGTTCTGTGCAGAAAAGCTGCTCTTTCTATTAAACTTGAGCAGGTTGGAAAGCAGCATTGTTTCCACCTGCAGTGGGTGATGCTGCGTCTGGCAGTGCGATTCTAAGCTCGGTACATGGGATATTACTATTAAAAACACTTGACGGCACCGACTGCGTTTTAAACCCGAAAAAAATCAGTTGCAAGTTTTCAGCTGGTTGAAGGAAGCTGTATCCTCGAAATCTTTGCACAAATCCGCGTGTTGACAGCTCTACGAGGGTCCCGGCGGTAGACTGGTTGACGGTTTACTGCCGGCTCCGAGTACCTCGCAGAGCTCTTCGGCATCGATGAGCTAGAGGAATTCCGGCGCGGGATGAAGCTAGTTGGCCCACCCCCCGGCGGACAATGCGGCAACCTGGGGTCGGTTGTATTGGAGATTGTGATAGCTTTGAGCATTCGTTTTGGGAACCCCGATTTTTTACGTGGAGTGGGTTGTGCCGCATCTGCCTGTCAAATTCTCAGGTCCGTAGCTGCAATGCTACTGCCAAGCAGCGCGGAGGAACCGCGGGCCGTCGGGGTGCATTTTTCGAGATGATAAAGTTCCCGCGCGCATAACTCAAGCAGGAAGCAAGATACACAGCTCCAGTATTCTCTGCACCTGTAGTAGGTTATGGCGCGTCGGCCCGTTGAATTCTCTGGTCCGTAGCGAATACTTCGATCAAGACACTTGGCGAGCCAACATCGTATAACACAGGGGAAAAATGTTTTTGAGTTTTTAAGCTGATATTGAAGTGAGCTTTCTCGTCGTATTCCGAGCAGTACTTCGCGTTTCAAGAGCTCTACGAGGGCCCCGGCGGTAACCTTGGTGACGGTTTACCAGCGGCTCTCAGTTGGCCCACCCGGCCCGGGCGGACAATGTGGACACCTGGGGTCGGTTTTTTGAAGATTGCGGGAGATTCGAACATTCGTTTTAGAAACTTCTTATTTTGTAACGTCGAATGGATTGTGTCACATCTCTCTGTCAAATTCTCAGGTCCGCAGCTGCAATATAGCTGTCAAAAGACGTGGAGGAACCGTCCGTCAGGATGCATTTTCCGATATGATAATCGTCTCGCGCACTTAACTCAAGCAGGAAGTCAGCTACACAGACCGAGTATTCTCCTTACCTGGAGTAGGTTATGACGCGTCGGCCGGTTGAATTCTCAGGCCCGCAGCTGCAATATGACTATGAAAATATTTGGCGGAACCAACTTCGTACAACACCGAGAAAATATTATTCGAGTTGTTATGCTGACATTCAAGTGAATAGAGCTTCCCTATGAGCGTAGCGGCGAAGCTAGAGAAGAATTCCAGCGCGCTGGGGAGCTAGTTGGTCCGAAAAATATCGACGGAAGTGTTGCATGATTTTGGTCGGTTAAGAATTAATTTCTTGAAATTTGTTCATTCGTCAGAGCTCTAATATTTGTCCCCCCCATCTTCGATCTTATTCCTGCTCGCCATCTGAATATCAAGTCGATCGGGTAGATATTACGATCGAAAAGCACTCAGGCGGGATCGGCTGTTGAGTGTAATATTGACAGATGCTGTCGGTTTTCTGAACTTAACTCGAACTACAGATGAGCTACAGAGCTGTGCGGTACGGCAACTCGAAAAAAAACCGTTTTTCTGTGTTCATCCAAAGTCGGTTCTGCCAAGTGTTTTGATAGTGATACTGCAACTACCGACCTGAAAATTTGACAGGCAGACGCGACATAACCCACTACAGGTGCGAAAAATACCGGTTCCCAAAACGAGTTCTCAAATCTCTTACAATCTTCAAAAAACCGACCCAGGAGCCTCGTAGAGCTCCTTTCTCGCGCGACGCTGCAAGAAAGCCATGGAGAAAGCTTTCTCAAGTGAGCTGAGAAACACGAAAAAGCACGTTCTTGGGTGTTCATCCAAACCCAGGTTGCCACATTCTCCGCCAGGGCTGGCTCAGCCAACTGGGAGCAGGCGGTAAACCGTCAACCAGGTTACCGCCGGGGCCCTGATAAAGCTCTCAACAGACAAATCAGCGGGCAGATGACGAGAAAGAGTGGTCTTGAAAGTCAGCTTCAAAACTCCCAAACAATGAACATTCTCTGTCTGCCTATGTTTTAATAGCAATACTGCAGCCACCTGAATTCGACATCACCCACTACAGGTGCTAATGATGTCTGAACTGTATGATTCGCTTACCTCTGTTCGTTAAGTTCAAGAAACTAATATCAGCTCGAACACTACATCCAAACGGCCGGTGGTTCCTCTTAACTGGTGGTAGACCGTTGATAAGGTTACCACCGGTAGCCTCGTAGAGCTCTTTTCTCGCGCGGCGCTGCTCGAAACACATGCAAGGAGCTTTCTCAAGTGTGAGCTCAAAAACTCGACAAAAAACACGTCGGTTCCCCCAAGTGTTTTGACAGTAATACTGCAGCTAACATGAGGATTCACTGACAGACACGGCGTAACCCACTACAGCTGCGAAGAATACAAGTTCCCAAAACGAATTGCATAATCTCTCAGAATCTTCGAAAAACGGACCTGAGGTAATCATATTGTCCGCCCGGGTCGGGTCGGCCAACTGGGAGCCGGCGGTAAACCGTCAACCAGGTTACCACCGGGACCCTGGTAGGATCTAAACACACCGCATCAGTTCCAGATAACCAGGAGAGAGCGTTCTCGAATGTCTGAAAATTCGTAATGTGCATTTCTCGAATATTATACGAAGCTTGTTCCTCCAAATGTTTTGATCGATATGGTTCACCTACAGCCCTGGCAATTCTACATCAAACGCGCCATTATCGACAACGGGGTACGAAAATCTGATTATCAAAACGAACTTTCGATTTCTGAGAATATTACAAAAACCGGCCCCAGGTCTTCACATTGTCCGTTCCGGCCGGGTCGGCCAACTGAGAGCCCGCGGTGAACCGTCAACCAGGTTACCGCCAGGACCTTCGTAGAGCTTGAACAAACGACAATTTCTTCCATAAGTCAAAAACACGGTATATCTTAATGATTTCGAAAAATCCATCCCAACGGTCGATGATTCCTGCACGTTTTTTGACAGTAACATAGCAGCTACGGCTCTCAGAATTGGACAGACTAACGTGGCACGATCGACTACACGTTACAAAACCAGTGATTCCATCACGAATTTTCAAAGCTCTCAAAATCTCCGAAAAAAACCGACCCCAGGTTGTCACATTGTCCGTCCGATGCGGGTGGGCAAACTAGAAGCCGGCGGTAAACCGTCAACCAGGTTACCGCCAGGCCCCTCGTAGAGCTCTGCAGAGACCGAATCAGTTCCCAGATAACAAAAGAAAAACGTTCGTGGATATGCGCTTCAAAACTGAAGAAATGCTTTTTCGGGCTTCACACAAGGTCGGTTCCTGCTAGTCTTTTGATCGAAATAATGCAGCTAGGGCCCTGAGAATTGCATCACCAAACGCGCCCTGATCGACTGCAGAGAATAAAAATTTGAATTCCCAAAACAAATTGCACAATCTCTCACAATCTTCGAAAAACCGACCCTGGGTCACCACATTGTCCGCCCGGGCCGGGTGGGCCGACTCGCTGCCCCCCGCGCCGGAACTGGGAGCCGGCGGTAAACCGTCAACCAGGTTACCGCCGGGAGCCTCGTAAGCTCTGAAATCGCGCGACGCTGCTCAGAACACATGGAGGAATCTTTCTTCAGCGTGTGCTGAAGAACTCGAAAAGACATGTTTTTCGGCATTCATGCAAAGTCGGGACAAATCACGGAAAGTCACGTTCAAAGGTCAATGAGCACTCAAATCAAGGAAGCAACGAATGACCTACTTTGAGGGATCAAGCGAAGCTCTTATTCAACACACGCGCATGCACGACAACACACACAGGCATGAAGAAAGGCAACGCAATGACAAATCAAGCGTGCAGGATCAATCACATGTGCATCATCTGTGCCGTTTCCGATGCTTCTTGCCGCTCCGCGTCAATGCACTCCTGGAAGTAGAACTCTGAGGAACCCCTTGTTGCGAATCATCCTCCTCGGAACTTTCAATTCCCAATTGCAGCCTGTATGCATTAAGAGCCTCAGTCCCACGCTGAAACTCCTGTGTCGGGAGTCGGTGTAGCTCACGCCAAAGGGCACTGACATCGACACCGGCAAGGGCCCAGTCCCTGGCAGCTTGACACTCGTCCTCCGTCACTGCTGAACTCACAACTGCATTAGATAATCTCGCAGCCGTGGAACTCCCAGGGTGTGAAGCCATAGAATCTTTATGATGAGAATAATGCAACTGCTCATTCCGCAACTCCTCATTCTGCAACTCCTCACCCTGCAACTCCTCATCATGCAACTCCTCTTTCTGAACACCTGGATCAACAGAAACAGAGACCACTTCCGAGTTTTTATTGTTGTCAGCGCGCACTCGATGACACTCCTCCTTCTCCTCCTCACCAACAAAGAGAACACAAAGATCAGTCTGAGTCCCACACGCAATGTGGACACAGGGATCTGTCTGAGTCCCACAATCGGAACACTGCGAACACAAAGAGTTGCCAGCCAATTCAACAGCATCCATATCAGCCTGTGTTCCACAAGTGTCCTCAACCCACTCCTCTTCCTCAGAATCGTCCGAGCAGAAATTCCGATAATATCTGGGCGCGCAAATGCCCGCGCGAACAAGGCACGACGGATCTGGCCCCCGAGCCGTGGACCACAAACGATACCTGACACGTTTCGCCCGCAGGCGGCGCAACTTCGATTGAGAAACTTTGACACCATGCCCATACAGCTGGTCTCGCTCATGCAGGCGAGACTCACCTCCGTACGAAGGGCGAACACGGCAATATAGATCACTAACACACACTTCGACCGTAGACAAACGAGCAGACAAACAAGCGAGAAACTCGGAAGTAAACAACGCCGTATCTGTCCAATCTGAAGCAACAAAATCCGCGCCTGACAATTCAGATGAAATAAACTCCATATATAAAACGTGGACTCGCTCAACAAGAAGAAGGCAAATCACAAGCAATAACTAGATGGACAGTTGAGATAACCAAGGAAAATGCCATTCCAACGATACTCCGACAATAATGTGCACTCCGACGACAATGGGCGTGGACAGGCCTTCGACAATCAACGAGAGTGTACGGTACTCAGGCAAAACAGACACTGAAGCACCGTGTACGGCAAAGAGAACCAAACACCAGGCACGGCACAATGCCGCTCGAGGAGGCCTCCGACGGGCCAGGTCGCCGCTGAGAGCCCGAGGAGGGACAGCAGCAACCTGGCCACCGCCGGGAACCTCGTAGAGCTCCTTGCACGCGTAAGAGTGCTCAGAATCGAGCAGACAGCTTCTCGGAGCATTTCTAGAAAAACGTCAAATATGCATTTTTCGGCGTCAACCTGATGTCGGTTCCTCCAAAGGTTTCGACAGTAAAACTCTGCCTATAGAGCTGATTCTCTCTCAGAATAAAAGTTAAAGACTAATGCCGGACGTAAAAATCTGCTTTCTCAAAATGAACTGTTCAATATCGCTCGAATCTTCGCAAAAGCGACCCAAAGTTGTCACATCTTCTTTTCTGGTCGGGTCGACCAACTAGCTCCACCCCGCGACGGAACTGGGAACCGGCGGTAAACCGTCAACCAGGTCTGCGAGTTCTGCGCTGGCCGATTCGAGCTCCCTAAAGAGCAGGCCACTACACAGAGAACCTAGACAGCGAAGCTGTACAAGGGCAGCGAAGCTGATAGATTAAAGCGGGAAGATTATGCAGCGAAGCTGTAAAAGAAATGTGCCATCCACAGTGCACAAATCAACAACTCCCGACAATAAACTCTGAGATGCAGCAAGTTCCGCCTGGGTGATTGTACAATGGGAAGGGAGCATAAACGCCCGCTTGGCTACACCGAGCTGCCAACGATTAGAGGGGAGGCCAGGGGGGAGGGAGGAAGAAGGCAAATTAGAAGAGATAAAAATGTCAATCACCCAGCCACAAGATGTGCCTAACTCACATCTGCCACCATCAAAAGAGCCTCTCACCGCGTGTACACTATGTTGATTCGAACGAATAGAAGAAAGTGTATTGAGGTCCCACCGCACATCTGAAGTAGTCTGCCCTTCTCTGGCCACATGCGTCTCATGGTCCGCCTCAGTGTTCCCCTCCCGATAAACCCATTTCCAAATATCACGGCCCGCTTCAGGACTATAGATCTGGAACTGCTTACACACGGCGTACAATTTATTTTGCATATCGGCGATGGTTTTACTATATATCTCATTCATACATCTGTTTTTACCCGTCAGCCAACGTGTTATACACTGACTATCTCCCCTCATCTCTAGAGCCAGCCACCCAGGGTTCATCCTCCAGTTGGTTTCGTCCTGGAAAAGCGCAACTAACCGTTTAGCACGACGTTCATTTTCACGTTGCAGTTCGGCCTCTGTTTTAGTCTCCTCCTCCTCCTTCCAATGGGTACCCGAAGTAGCATCTTTTATCAGGCAGAATTCCAATATCTTGGATAGATCAAGCTTCTGCAGCGTGTCCACTAAGAAGGTCTTCCAACCTAGCTCCGTCCAACACATACTCTGATCCCAATGAGGCCCCTGAGAGACTTCGAACACCGTAAACCAAGGCTGGAGACTCTGCGTAACTTTGTGCGAACGCCGACGAGAAAACCCACGACCACGGGCGCCAAAAGCAAGAACCATGGCATCACGATGATCAGTGTACTCCCCTGACGCATGCATCATACACAGCGCGCTCTGCATAGACGGTGTGGCCCAAACCTTCGTGAAATCCACGCGTGCACGTTTACGAGGTGGATCCGAAGCCGGCTGCGAAACAGGCTGGGGCGGGTCTTCACGACGCGGGCGAACGTTACGACGCATATCTGTGATTTGCTGGCGACGGTTGCGCACAGGAGCAGGGGTAGGAGGCACAGGTGAGTCACACAGAACATGAGGCAACTCAGGTTCACGCGATAGAATCCCTTGGCTGAGATCGTCACAAGCAGGCTGAGCAAGATGACCAAAAGCCGCACACACAACATGTTTAGCGAACAACCACTGCCGATACAAAGTAAGCTGCATCAGTGAAGGCCTGGAAGAGTTGAGCATCAACATGCGTGCGTGCCTGATCCGTGAACTCCAATATGCAGCCCACATCTCATTCACCCTCTTACGACAACGACACATAGCCGAGAGAAACTTCCCTTCCTCCACGTGAATCAACGTCAAACTATTCGCATCACAAGTGGTGCCCTCGACGCCGTAAAGGAAGCAAGAGCGAACGCGTGCATCATACCGTGCAAGCTTGCGGCCCATTGGAATAACAGCACTAGTGTAGAAATCCGCATCAATCCAAAAGCTCGGGCGTGCTTTTTTCAGTCGGTGAAATATATCTGCATGATCTGAGAACTCTACGTCCAACAAGGTGCCCAAAACGATTGTCTGAGTAACCTGCGGAATGGTATAAGAGATCGGCTCAGAGAAGTGCGCGCCTTCCAGTGGTCTGACGACCTCACCGCGAGCCGAGCCCGTGGGATTGGAAGACTTCACGACGCCCGGAAGCAAGCTAGAAGGCACCGAAATCTGAAGTGCACGAGGCGGTCCAGAGCAACCACAAGCAAGGTATTCTAAAGAGCTGTCCTTCCACCTGAAGCCGTGTCGGTGAATTGCAGTAGTCAGATCCGCGAGCATGGCCAGCATATCCTCCCGACGCGAAGCCACTAAGATAACATTGTCAGCCCAAAGCCAATGATTGACGAGCAACTCGGACGCTTCAATAGAAAGCTGGATACCATAGCCGCGATCTCGCCACCGTGAAACGACAGGCGCCAGAATGCATAACGATTTAGCCACCCATAAAGCTGGAGCCTCCATGGAGCCTGTACAAATGCAGGTGTCCCACTGAATGCCCTCAACAGTGCACTGCTGGAATGAAAGCTCTGCAACATTGTGCGCGCACCCCTCAAAGATCGCAGACACCAGAGAAGAGTCCACTTCCAACTCAAGCAGAGATTCAACAGCCGACCGAACTGTGAGATAATCAAAAGCCTGCTGATATCACAATTGACGATGTGACAATCCTCCTCCTTCCACAAGACAGCGTGACGAGCAAGATGCTTCAACGGTGCGGTAACCTCATAACACTTATGACCCACAACAAAACCATACAGTTGACAACCCCTCGGCGCAACCGTCTTGATGTGAGCTTCGAGCAAGATGGTGAGACAACAACTGAACCATTTCCCAAAAACCGACAGCATAGCTAGAGCACGAGTCTCATCAAAGCTACGCGCCTTCGGTCCTCTCAACATAAAACTGACAAGGATGCGCCTCCATGAAAGCGGTGAAACAATCTGCCTCCCATATAATCTCTGAAAGCAGACAAGAACGTGGCGAAGAGCTTCCCACGGCAAGGCCTTGAGTACAGAAGCTGAGATGCCATCAAGACCTGTAGCCTTCCCCTCCCGAAAACGCGCACGAGCTCGCAGAAGAAGACCCATATCGATCGGACAAGCGCGACCAGCATGTTGCGACATTTGCTTGCATTTATCTCGGAGCTCCTCAAGACAAGAATTGGCATCATGTCGATGGGCTTCGCTCGAGTACCGAAGTAGACCATGTTGCCTAAGAGCCTCCTCCCACCTACTGACATGCTGTGTCAATTCCCCCTCAACCATCATCTGCGTGGCTTTCGGCTTACGTCGAACCCCCTCCCTCTGACGATACATCAACCGGGCACGCTCGATATCCCGACGGACCCTCCTCCACATCTTCAGGCTATTTTTGTACACCCCCTCCTCCACCTCCTCCCGCTTGCACTGCCTCCTAATATTGTAGTGCTCCTCCTTCATCCTCAGCTGGTCCTCAGAAAGCCTCGGGAACCCAGAAGATTGATCACCTGCATGGCGGGAGAGATCCAGAGTCTCGAGGGCGCCCTCAGTGATGGCCTGACCTATGAGCTCAATGGGGTTAGCCTCAAGATCCTCGGAGAGCGCCGCGAAGCGGTTGTACTGGCTCACGGAGCGCTCCAAGCAAGCCATTTGGTGTACCTCCGAACCTGCCTGCACCTTCCACCGAGCAAGTGAGGGACGAGAACGAGGACGCGACTTAGCCTGATGTTCTGGGAGTCGGAGCTGCAGCAACTTATGATCACTGAATGTCATCTCACGCGCACGCGTACGTTCAAGAGTAAGCGGCAATACCCATGTGCAAGAGACCTCTGGAACCTGCCAATCTATCGGGATAGCGAAGAAGTCATATACATGCTCATACTCACGTGTGCAATGTGTCCAAGTAGGTGTGCGCGTACCGTAGGTGTTCGCAAGACGGAGCTTCAGGGCACCCATGGTTTTCAAGAAAGCCTGGCAATACATCTCCCTCATCTGGTCACGCATGGCGTCCGCACTCCCCATCCTTGGCCTTACGCTTCCTAGACTTAGCTTTAGGTCCCTCTACCGCCTCCCCCGTCACGAGTATCCTAGCAACAGTCTGATTGGGATAGACCTCAACATTGGCATCGACTTGCAAGACAAGATCGCGAATGGAGTACTTCTTTTTAGCAGCAAGAACTTTAGACGTCAGATCTGACAGCACGCTGGTGTACAAGGCGAAACTCTCATAGTGGCCTTCTGAAGATCCCCTAGGTTCACCATTTGTCCCCTTGCACGTTTCACGATGTGGAAGGTAAGCTGAGACGAATATAAGATGGCGGAATACAATCGCAACCCAACGATCGCCAGAGATGCAGTCTAAGGTGAGGTGCTTCCAAGATCCCCGAAACAAGATTGCAGCCCGTCTGCACTCAGAGCAACGGAAGTCCCACCCCACGTCCTCAACTTCAACATCATTCAAATGCTGGCATTCCTGAAGAGCGACAAGTGAGAGATCGAGATCAGCAAGATGGCGCATGCACTCGGAGGTGTGTGTCCCCAACCTCCGTATTCCAACCTCCGCACAAGGATGGGCACCGTCACAGAGTACTGTTAAGCGCACCTTCCCAAGCTGATACGTCAATCCCAGTATCAACTTCCTTCATTTTATCAGCTGAGATATTCCATCCAATCGTGTCCGTCCACGTACCGATACAAACATTCGCCGAAGCAGAAGTCGATTTGGCATACATCCACGCTTTCGCTGGACCCTCAGCCTCGAACAGCACCTGGGCCGTCTGCACTGTCTTCCGTTTGTGGAATTGCGCCGTCGCCTTACGTGTCTCAGAAACCCGCTTGCGATCCTGAGGCGCCGGTTGCACAAGCCATCCCAAGTACTGGTCACGGTAGTTTCCAAAAGCGTTCGGGCAAAGAAGATCGGCAT